ACAGGGCACAGTCATTTGCTGAACGCTTACGGTTGGGAATTGCTGTGATTCATGGGGAAGCTCAAGATGCTGAGTCTGACATGGTGGATGGTCGACACTCACCACCTACAGCCAAAAATGTAGCTGCTATTCATCCCAGTTTGGAGATACCCAGTAAGTAAGTTGGTGTGTGAAAGCAATCACCTATCTTTTTTGTGATTTTGGGGGACGGGTCTGGCAGTGATGGACCATCAGAAAGGAGTGGTTCTTAATAAAACAGTAGGGGAAGGAAAAAGAATCCTTTTTGATGCTCTTTGTCCGTGGTTTTAGTGCCAGGCCGTATGTGAGGTCTCTCCCCTGTCTAGGAGGGGCTGTGTCATTACAGGTAGTTGGAAGAGCCCCTGGCAGAGGCCCCACTTTTTTGCCATTTACTTTTTCTATTGGAATTTTTCTAGGGGACAGAGCTAATGAGCTGAGCTGACGCTGGGTTTGAGTGTAGCTCTGTCATGGACCTTGACAGAGTAACCTGGCTGAATGTGGATGTGATCTAGAGCTGCGCCAGCGAAACTTCGTTGCATAAACCTAGCTTGGGTCTCAGCAGGGTGACAACTGGTTGTGTCTGCAAGCCACTCTGTTCTCTGTACTAACATTAAGAATTAGTTGAGTTGGTGAAGCATTTGGGTGTAAATGAATGTAGTTAATACTTTGGCTAAGCTTAAGAAAAAATCATTTGTGTATTAAAATCCTGCTGTCTTTTCCCAGTAATGCTGTGATGGTTGAAATAGTTGTTGCTTCACTTCTCTCTAACAGTGGTGACCCATGACATTTCTGCACTTGAAGTAAATTGTCTAAACTCTCTCTTTCTTTCTCCTTCCTACCCCTCTAAAAAAATCTGCCATTAATCAGTGCTGATTCCCAAGGAAAAACCACCCATCACAGTTGTTGGAGATGTAGGAGGAAGAATAGCTATCATCGTGGTAAGTAAGATGCCATGGCTTTTGATAAAAAAATAAATAATATTAAATATGTTACACTTGCAGAAATCAAGTAGATTTTCTGCTGTATCAGCAACAAAACTTTGGTTGATGGTGGGTGTTTTATACCACGAGGCAGTATTCTGCACACTTAGTGAAGCTGGCTGTGTGATCCGTGCTGGAAAGCAGCATCTGGGCCTTGTTTCTATGAATAGACCAGATAAATATCTGTTTTAAGTGCTTGCCTCTGAAGGTGAGGAGTTTCAGGTGGTGCTTGGCCATCAGATGAGGGAAAAATCACCGTGTTTCTATTCTGTGAGTTTAGAAATGCCAGTGAAGTAGATATGATGCGGTCTTACGGTTTCTCTAAAGCAGAATGTAATCTCTGGGCTTTTAATGGGAAAGATGAATTTTCTGTTAGTTTGGTTTCTGAATGAATGTCAGTTGTCTCGCCCTTTCCCTCTTCCCCTCACGGAGCAATCCTTCTGCCCCTTGATGGTGCGGTAGTTTCGGACACTCTGCTTTTCCGCTCTTTTGCACTTGCCGCCTAGCTGAAGAACAGCGTTGATAAAAATGTCCATTTTGGTTTTATTAAAAATGTCCTTTTTCTTTTTTGTTTTGTCTGTAAGCTGTTCTACTCGAAAAAGATGTAATGTCAGCCTGGCTGTGCCATATGTTGGTCTGTCTGAGGACACGGTCAGTCTTCACTGACTCGATCTTACTTTTGGCAGGATGACATTATTGATGACGTTGACAGCTTTCTTGCTGCAGCCGAGACCCTCAAGGAAAGGGGGGCTTACAAGATCTTTGTAATGGCCACACATGGCCTGCTGTCTTCAGATGCCCCCAGGCTGATCGAGGAATCTGCCATCGACGAAGTAAGCGTGGATTCTGAATTTCTGATTTGTTTTGGTTTGGGTTTTTTAGGCAAGCAATTTCCTCCTGACTCGATTCTTAAAATATACTGGCATTAAGAATTTAGTTGGGGGGGTTCCTGGGTTCAGGCTTTCTTACCATGGAATTGTATGCGAGAATGTTACCACCTGTGCATCCTTAAACTACAGCAGTGGGGAAGTAGCGAGGTGAGGGACTGCCAGTATTAGCAGGCTTTTCCCTTCAGTATGGGGGATGTTTTTGTACCTTCCTTTGGACCTGCCTGGCAGAACGAAAGGGAGGAAGGACAGTGCCATTAGTATCCATGGATACATCGACATTTCCCTTTCTAATACGGGGGGTGGAAACCGTAATGGAGCTACATCTTTCTGATAATTTTTTCTTTCTGTAGGTGGTTGTTACGAACACAATTCCCCATGAAATACAGAAACTCCAGTGCCCTAAAATCAAGACTGTGGATATCAGCATGATCCTCTCGGAAGCCATTCGCAGGATCCATAATGGGGAGTCCATGTCGTACCTTTTCAGAAATATAGGACTGGATGATTAATGCTTTTTATTCTAAAGAAACACCCCGGGCCAAACTGGAAGCGAACAGATAACGAGCTGTGAAGCATCATGCTTACCTTAATATTTCTATTGAGCCACTTCTTGTTTTCTCTTGGTTTAAGTATCAAGGTAGAACAGTTTTTAAGAGCTTTTTTTTTTTTTTTTTTTTTTGTTTTTTTTTTTTTTTCCTTTGCAGGGGTTTTTTTTTGGGGTGGGGTGGGTGGGGAAGAAACATTTTACAAAAAACTGTTCTAGTTGCTTTTAGGTTAGTTGCACTATATACCTGATGGGAAAACCCACAAAACACTTGAGGCAAGAATTTGGCTTCTAAATTAAGCATTCCTTTTCCAAAGCTGCTTGCTGCAAGTGCTTTAAAAGATAACAAAATGAAGTGACTGTATCATATTTGCATTTTAAAAGCCAAAAAGGTTGTACTGTTGTATGCAGTTAAGTGATTTTGTAGGAGTGCTTTTATAGAAAAGCATATGAAATATGCACCTGTATTTATTTTCTGCGACAAAAGAATAAAGACTTGTTTTGTGTGAGCTTTCTAAAAATGTTCACGTACTCGTCCCTTGCCTTCTAAAGCGGGTCCCCTTAAAAATGGTTTGCAGGTATTAGATTACTGGAAGAAAGCAAGAGGCGAATTGATAATTTTATGCTAATGTGTTACTTCGGAACATGAACAGGGTTCAGGCTTCTTGGCAGTAAGGAGGATAACATGGGGTTTGCTTGTTGTTGCAATGAAGCACCTGCAGGCGGGGAGGAGAGGCTGCTTTTCCCTAACGCTGTCATTTTTTCAAGCTGTCTGCGGCAGAGCAGTCGTGTCAATCGCAACATCCAGCCTTTTGCCACGTGCGTGCAGGTGCTGTCACAAACCTTTGTAGATGAGTTGTAACTCGGCAGTCACGGTACGCTTCCAGCGTGCTGCTTTGCTTCAGGGAACATGGCAGGGAGCTACATCTGTGGCTGGATGTCCAGGAGCAACAGGGACTTGGGAATATTGCAGGGGGCGGAGGTTCTGGCTGGTAAAATCTGAATCGGCTTGTCACAGCTGAACTGTTTTTTTTAGAGGTTTGTCACCTGGCCTGAATATGAGGACGAGCTTAACTTCTTCAGGTTGGTTTCCCCAACTGTCCTTAGGGACGTGTGTGTGGAATGGCCGGCGAGCTGCCACGCTGTGAGCTTCTGGTGGCCGAGACTTGGAAGTTCCTGACCTGTTGCAGAGAAAGACAGCTGTGGAATTAACGAGCGTGTAGGGGTGGTTTGGTCCGATCTCAATCAGAATGTCCTGCCAATGAGTATAAAACTTTTGGTGTGTCGAAAACCAGAAGTGAAAAATTAACCTTTGTTGATACCATTTCTCTGTTTGAAACAGACTTCCGAGGGCTTTGGGAGCTTGATTTGCTTTTAAGGATAAAACCTGGTTTGTTTGGGGTTTTTTTTTCCCCCTTGTCTGCCTTGGCACAGCAGCGGGAATGCCGGAGGCCTGGTCTGTGGCTAGGAGGCCTAGATATTGCTAAAAGGTTGCAGTGCTTGATCTTGTCGGTGCATTCTGCAAGTGATACGGTGATTTCACTGACGCCACTGCACATTCCTGTTCAGGTAACGCTGTTCTTCCTTCTGTGAGCTTATTTCGCATAATATTATTGTTGATTTTTTTTGCAGTCCTGCCCAGAGAGGCACGTTCCGTCCTTGGCACAGCAGCGGGAATGCCGGAGGCCTGGTCTGTGGCTAGGAGGCCTAGATATTGCTAAAAGGTTGCAGTGCTTGATCTTGTCGGTGCATTCTGCAAGTGATACGGTGATTTCACTGACGCCACTGCACATTCCTGTTCAGGTAACGCTGTTCTTCCTTCTGTGAGCTTATTTCACATAATATTATTGTTGATTTTTTTTTGCAGTCCTGCCCAGAGAGGCACGTTCCGTCTCTACAAAATGACGAAATGCAAGGCTCCACCTGGTTGTACTTCAATGCCAGGAGGTTATTACACAGTTCAGCAACGTTAATAGGTACACCGAGCTGACGTATTAACACTTAGGCGTACTTTGAATGTGTTAATGCAGGTTAAACTCCAGCTGAGCTCGGGTGCCTCAGCGGCCGTTCCGAAGAGAGGAGAAATGCTCTGACCTGTCTCGCTGATGGGTGTATTGGTCGCAGCGTGTTTATTTTATTCGCAAAACCTTGCCATACGTGGTTGGGAAGGGTGCTGCCGCTTGAAAATGAGCCAGCATTCAGTGCAGAAAACACTCTGAGCACTAAATACCCCCAAAAATGGAATTCAAAGGTGGTTTCCTGCTGCTTATTTCGTGCTGGCCTTTGGAGGAACAGCTTTGTCTCCTCTGTGAGCGTGTCTGCTGGCGAGCTGAGGCCCCGCCTCGGACACGCATGTAACTCCTGTGTTTGGTCGTTGCTTTAGCACGTTGAAAGCCCCCCACTTTGCCTGGGTTCGTGCAGTTACTGTACTGATTAGACCTCAAGAATTTGGGAATGGTCGCGGCCGCAAGACTGGATCGCTTGGCCTTTTGGCTTTTCGTAGTATTGGAGTGGTTGAAAGGGAGCAAAGCGCGTGCGACTTCACTCAGACGTTTTTCATACCCCTTTCATTACCGTGTGTAACTGCAGAGCTACCTGGCCTCTACGTGCTTTTTCCCAGAAGCAAAAATGCCAGATCGCCAGCTCTTCTTAGAGGTGTTTCTCTGGGATCCTAAAGAAACGCTTTAAAAACCCCTCTTTACTCAGCAATTTCTATTTCTACAGGAACGAACTGGTCAGAAGATCATGCAAATTCTTTCCAGGCTTAGTATCTGCAAGAAAAATATTGGGCTTTGGTTTACAGCTCATAGAAAACAAAAGCCTTGGCAGTTCCTTGTCCAGCCATAGAATTGGGGAACCTCTGCGGGAGGCTGCTGGGAGCCCGCATCCTGAGCGTCTGCATGGCAGAAATGCATTAATGGCGGGAGCAGCTCGGAATGGAGCCTGCAGCTTCTTGAAGATGGATGCAGAAGCAGCAGAAAACCCCAAGGAAATGGGGATTAAGTAGCTGCTTGGTGGTGAGACACCGAAATCGAGAGGTGCTCACCTGGACCCCGCTTCCCTGGGGAAGCGCGGGGGGGAACCGAAAGCGGAGGGAGGCAGCAGCCAGCCAGGCTGCCCGCCCCAGCGCCTTCGGAAGCGAAGCTCCTACTGCCGGCTTGTTTAATGATCAATGCCCTCACCCTGCTAACGAGTTACTGATTCAGCCAGAGACCGTGTGAGGCTTTTGCCGAGGATGAAGGAGGAGGCAGAAGAGGAATGATGGAGGGCAATTCCACTGCTGGATCCCTGACCCCCGCACAGCCGTTCAGCATTGCTGATCTTGTTGTCGTAGTGGTTTATTTTTCCTTAAACGTTGCAGTGGGAATATGGGTAAGAGCATTTTCTCTTGTTCCCTTTCTGTTTTCCTTTTTGAATAGGGTTGTTGGTTTGGTTTTGGTTTTTTGTTTTTTTTGTTTTGTGTTGGTTTGGGTTTGGTTTTTTTTTTTTTTTTTTTTTTTTTTTTTTTTTCCCGGACTGGCTTTTCTGCATGGAATATTTTGAAAGCCTCTATTACTTTCCTGGTTTAGTTTGCAGTTGTGGTGGAATTAACCACAGCATGAACCTCTCCCCTGGCCTCCGGTCTGCTGGGCGTAAGCAGATCTCCTGCTCGTCTATTAAAGGGTGTTGAGACAAATGCCCTGCTTAACAGAGAAAGCCCTCAGCCACCCGCAGTTCCAGACAAAGGCTCTCCAAAGCCTAGCAGAAAAATCGTAGCCAAAGCTGAGCCCTATTAGCCACCCCGTCTGCGTGGGATGGAGGCAGGACGGGCGCATCCTCCCTGCTTCCCCCTCTCGGGGTGTCTCCTTTGCTGTTCATGGCTCCAGGTACTCCGGGTGCAGCCACTGTTTCGTTGTAATTAAGCTCGAGTTGCAGAGCTCCCATTAATTATCCAGAGTCTCTCCTGTCTCTCTGTCTGGGAGACTTGGTTCTTGGTTTCTTGGTGTCTTGTCTGGGTTCGTAGGGCAGGGTGCTCCGTGCTGACCTTTTCTCCTCCCAGTCCTCATGCAGGGTGAACAGGAACACCGTCAGTGGCTATTTCCTTGCTGGCAGAGACATGGCATGGTGGCCAGTAAGTAGAGACCTCTGTCCCTCTCATGACACCCAGGGTGGCAGGGACATCCAGTACCATTCTCCCTCCCACCAAATTCCCTCTTCTGCTTTCTCCACCACATGCCCAAGCTTTCCCCCACCTCCTTCTGCTGGGATTCGTGTCCTCTGAGCTGCGTTTCCCTTGTTGCACGAAGGGTGCTGGAGCCCACCCAGCTTGTTGGGTCTCCTCGTAGGCTGCTCTGAACTTGGGGAGGTGTCGCTGGAGTCCAACATCTACCTCCACTGGCCCCCTGTGCTCCTGGTGGCTCCTACAAGACACAAGTGTCCCAAGTTTCTTTTTTCCCCTCCTCTTACTTTGGCATGACCTTGACAAACTGGTTGTAGGTCCTTCCCGTGTCTGGGACTGGGTGTTTGCAACAGGGCCCACCTGCGGGCAGGGTGTGTGGCCACCATGGCAAATGCAGCAACGCGTGGTTCCTCCTTATCCTCCTGAAGACAAGAAAGTCCATCCAAAACCCACTGGGGATGCCCAGCTGAGCTGAATGCGCCAGGAGCGCTGGTCGCTGGGGCTGATGGCTACTTGGATTGGAGTCCGTTAAGGGTTTTTCTTGCAAAATACGTACACGTCCCCTCATCACACGTGGTCTATCTTTGGCCACGCTTTGCTTTTAGAAGCGTCTGGGAGGTCTGCGCTCTGCCTCTCCCGTTCAGGCGTTATTTTTGCCTCTTCCTGAGTTGTCCCCTTGGGGCTGCGCTACTGGGGAAGGACCAGAGCTGGTCCAGCTGGCACGACTGCCGTGCCAAGCCGCGGGGAGCTGGTGGCCAGGCACCCCAACTGCGAGCACCCGCAGCACCTCCTCTGCTCCTCCACAGATCGGCGCCTCTCTCTTCGCCAGCAGCGAAGGCTCGGGGCTCTTCATCGGGCTGGCCGGGACCGGCGCTGCCGGGGGAATCGCTGTCACTGGCTTTGAGTGGAACGTAAGAAATACGTCGTGTTATTAAAAAAATAACTTTCTGGATGGCCCATTTCACA